GCGTGAAGAAGAGTTTGTTTGCAAGTCCTCCAGTTCCGACCATCTTGGCTAGCTTATCGGCAACCTGGTTAGCAATTCTGTTGACATGATCCGCCTTAACAATCCAATCCGAGTTAATCAGATTGAGAATACGATCAAGAAGAGTGAATGAGCTACCATTACTGTTATCCTACTGAATAATTTGACCAACCTCCAAGCTATCTGTCTCCACCATAACTTGTCTCTCACCATGATTCTAAGCATAGGATAAATCTTCATGAACACCCTATAGTTCCGATAGAAATGTGTATGAGATTCAGAGTTATTAAATTTTGATTTGGTTTAATTTTACAGAGTTGAAGCAAAACATGGAAAGAAGAGTCTACGAAGCTAAGATGAGCTCATTCTCGATAGTGTTTTGCTTACATCTTTCCATGAAACTCCTCTACACATTGCCATCATGCGTGGTCACCTTCATTTCGCCGCATCTCTTCTTCGTCGACGACCCAAGTTGTCGAGTGAATTTGACGCTCTTCACTGTCTGCCTGTTCACCTGGCCGCCATCAAGGGCCATGCGGATCTCGTCGAAAAATTACTCGGTGTGAACCAGAGTTGCTGGTCCATACGAGACGAGGCTGGGAGAACGGTGCTTCATTTGGTGGCCATGAAAGGGAGGGTTAATGTTTTGAATGTGATGATCAGGTGTTGTCCCGTGGCGATATTGTACCATGATGAAACAATCTTACACTTGTGCGTCAGGTATAATCAATTGGAAGCTTTAATGGTGCTGGTGGAGGCTTCAAATGAACATGACAGAGCGTTTGTTACTGTCCCGGATGATACTGGTAACACCATCCTACATCTTGCCATATTTCTTAATCGTTTTGAGGTAACCAATTTATTCCTCTTTTCTTTTACAATTCTCAATAAGCCTTAATGCAAAATTTGACTCTGGTTATTATGATGATAAACATGTTTATGTTCCTTGTGAACGTAAGTAGAAAATGTAATGAACCGTAATGAACGTAATGAATCGAAGGGAGTTCATTGCCTTGGACTTGATAGACCATTCTCCAAGAGATTTCAAAACCCTCGAAGTAGAAAATGTTTTGATGCGAGCAGGTGCTGTAGATGAAATTATTCCACCTCAAACGAAACCACTGAATAACGAGATTGTTCCATCCCAAACGGAACCACCGAATATCGTAATTGGTTCATCTTAAACGAAACAACTAATACTGATTCTGATCGTTGGAGGGATGGAAATCGAAACAAACTCAACGAAAAAATCATCATGGCTCATCCGGTTATGGCAAGCCTACAGCAAGCACATGAGACACAAAGGCAAATGGATAGAGGAAATACAGGGTCCACTGATGCTCGTTGCCACTTTAACTGCAACCATTTATTTTCAAGTTCTCTACAGTACACCGGGTGTTGGTCTCAATTAAATTGCAACTATGAGTAACTACATTTTTTTTAGTGTAGAAGAACTAGATTGTTGGTTTTCTTGTTTGCCATCATTTGAGAAATTCAGAAAGACTTGTATTCTCTTGATGGGATATTATCAAATGTTATTAACATGTCTTAAGAGTTTGAGTAGGTAGATTCTGAATTAGACCTGGAACTTCAGATTAAGCATGAGTTAATCCTACGAGTAAGCTTCAAAAGATGTGGTCTCAAAGAAAGTTGCTTGCACATGGTGATCATGGTGAAGTTTTCATATTTCTGTTGAATAATAGAAATAGAAAGTATAAGGGCAGTTCAATTCTCATAAGATTCAATTACAGAACCTTGAGGATTTCGGTGAAGTTTGTGGTTTAAAGTTCTCAGTTCACTGGTAGGTTATGGACGATTGAGTGGTAGAGCTTTCACTTGCTTCTCAAAATATTATTGGCCAAATGAATATTATTTGCTCTCAAAACTCTCGGGAGAAAAGTACCAGAGAATTTTTGTATTCCGTAATTGATACAACATTCTGACTACATATAAAAATAATGGATGATTTTGTTACTTAGAAATTGATTTGAAATGTACAGCTGGTACATGGGAATATAGACCTGTTTTATTTTGTTATATAGTTTTCTGGTGCATTTTTAGCTGAATGCGAGATTCAGTTGGCCAATGTTAATAAGGTTTCATTTATCTCCCCCACTTTTACTCTCTTTTTTTTTTTTTTGGTATTCTGGTACCTTACTATGGAATTTCTAGTAGTTTTAATTTGCCACAATTTTAACATACCATCCTCCCTTATGTAGGTTGAGACTTTGCTAATTACTTGATTGAAGCTAGGAATGAACTGCAGCACAAGTAAGTTCATAATTATTGTGATGTTTTACATGCTTTTTGGTTGTTTTGCTTTTAGCTCTGTTTTTATTGTTTTTGGCAAAAATTGCTGCTCGATTTTGATCCATGTAACAAGTTTGCCGGCGTTCTTCTTCCTTCCAACTTCCTCTTTAACTACTTTTGTTCTGTTTGTTTTCAGAATATGGAATTGCTTTCTATTTATTTCTTGACTCCTTGAAAGGATAATCTGTTCTTTCAATATAGGCTTTCCTGTTTGATTTCACTGCTATGATTGTACTGCAGATCTGAGGTAATCAAACGTAAGTTTACAATAACAAAGGCTCTACTATTCATAGCAGATCGATCATCATTTGATCGCCTGAGGCAGCAGGTTAGCAACCCTACAAGATAAACTTTCGCTTCTGGTGTGAACTGGTCATTATCATTAATTTTGATCCCCTCTGATAGTTGATAATTTGAGTGTTTAGATATGTAAGCTAGAAATGGAACAGAAGAGAGTAGAAGAGGATGCATTTGTCTATAACTGGCTCTAACAGCAACTTAAGCTATCACCGGCATATAAGGTACAATTCAAACCTGTATTCGAATAGTTGGTTTATTTTCAAATTTTGTTAGTTCTGTTGTCGGTCTTATTTTTCGAGGAAGGATGGGATAACTTAATCACGAATAAAACTTGTGTCCTTGTCACTCTTCTTTCAGCAGTTATTCTTAGTTACCTAGGAACATGTCTTTCATGGAAGTTTCTTCTGTCTTTGCCCTTCCATACTTGCAACTTAAAGTGCTATTTATATATACGTTGAGTGAAAAAGGAAACAGTTCATTCGCACGGGATTATAAAAAGGATCCATAGGAAGGGAACTTTTTTGTCTAGCTTTGTATCACTTCTGCACGTAGAGCAGCAAAATGGATTGTTAAAATGTCTTTTTTCTTCCCAACGTATATTTGCTCTCTCATTGCAATTAGAACATACATCATCATGATTCTAACGACTCTCTATCTCCCAGCTGCTTGAAATTTGTGCTTGCATGGAGTCTAAGGGCAACTCTGGTGAGCCGATGGAAGACACAGATACGGAATTCACTGACATCTATTTGGAAGAGCTATTAGCTCAGGAAAAGAAGTATTCATTTTGGTTGGTTGCTCATCTTTTATCTCCTGATTTCTAAATTTTGTTTACACACCACTTATGATTCACCTTTCTTCTTGAGTGATACTTGCAGAAAGAAAAAATGGGAAATCAAGGTTAGCCTCTAACTGACGATAACGTCTGTTTAAGCTAATTTGACCAAGAAACCTCCCCACTTTTCGTAGTACGTATCTTCAAATTATGTTTCTTTAGTTTTTGCAGCAAAATCATTGTCATAACTTCAGTTTTCACAGGTTCATCCATGGGAGCTATTCATACATTGGGCTGTAAATGAGACGAGACAGATCGCGAGCTACTCGAATCGACTCGATCAAGACTCGATAAATACTCGGATCGAATGGACTCGACTCGAGTTCTTAACGAGCTACTTGATATTCGACTCGAAAAACTCGTGAGCAACTCGAAAATATAATAAATTAATATTTTATTTTTTAAAAATAAATTATCAATAATATTAATATTTATGCATTGATTTTTTTAAAGAAAATATAATGGATTTTCATGTATTTAAAGTTCAAGTTCGAGTTTGAGGCTTTAATCAAGTTAAGTTTAAGAATTTTTTTTATTTCGAGCCTTTTCGAACTGCTCACGAGCTTCAGTTCAGGATTTCGAGTTCGAGTTGAGCTTAAAAATTTTAAGCTCGCGAGTTTTCGAGTTGACTCGAGCTCCATTTCAGAGTTTTCGAATAGAGTCGAGTCGAACTCAGCAATACTCAAACTCGACTCGGCCTTTACACCCCTATTCATACAGAACGACAAAGCTCTATGATCATTCCACACCATGCTTTCAGCTGAACTTTGGCCTTCAGCTAGCACAGCCATCTTTCGAGATCCAAGCATCGGCTTATTTCATTGCCGAAATCTTTATGTATTGCATCGGTGATGTCTTGCTTTAGTTGATCTAAGGAGTTTAGGTTCGAGTAAAGCTAATTATATAGCTGAAAACATCTGCATCCAGATTGAAGCTATGAATTATAGAAGGGCTGGTGTTATTGTAGATTATACAGAAGTTGAAAATATTACTGCTTAATGTGGGAAATAGCGTTTTGATAAATGAACTCAGATTCAATGGTTTGGAATAACATCAGATTGTTTATTTCCCTGCATGAATTCTCTCTTTTAATTACAACCATAATTTAATCCATCAAAATTTCTGCAATCCTTTGATGAAATATATGTATTTTTCAGTTGATCTATTACAAACATTATTTTATATACAGATCTTGTTTCCTTCCGCTGATATATCCATTCTATGGCCTAATTTTTGTGAGGACCCAGATGAGAAAAATGCAAAAATTAAGCCAAAACAAACCGGAAATCAGCAAAATTTGCGAATTTTCAGAGGAAAGAAATAATACCCACAATTGAGGGCGCAAGCATTAACATTGTAGAGGCCGGAGCCGACCAAAGCTTGAACGAGATAAACAAGGCCAAGGGAATCGATCCCTTCCCCATTGGTAACCAAAACGACAGGCTTCGAGATGTCGTTTTCATCACAGGAAGAAGTAGATATCTCAGTAGAATCAGCAATAGCCTCAGATTTTTTCTGTTGCTCGTCTTTTTTGTAGTTGTCGGAGTTCCCTCCCTTTCTGCTAAGAAGAACTTCCTGGAGATTGTTAACCAGACCAGGAGGTGACATGTTTTTTCTCGTGGTCGTCATTTTGTTCTGAATTAAACAATAATGATTGAATCAAAACCTAAGGGTGGGTTTTGTTCACGGAATGTAAGATAATCAGTGGGAATGTAAGATTATTAGGAAATATGATTACTAGGAATGTTGTATTTTGTGTTTGATTGGTTTAACAAAAATGTAAGATTAACATATTTAGTTAAAAGAATAAAAAATTATTGGAATGTATATTTGATCAAATTATACTTATCATATATTTATTTTTTAACAAGTTGAAAAATATTTATATTTTCTTTAAAAAATTTAAATTCATAAAATTTAAATTTTTTTTACAAAATTGAAAATATAAAAAGGTTTAATGAAATGGTAAAATTTTATTTTAACCTTTAACTTCATATAAAATTTTATTTATAGATTTTTTTTTGTAAATCTAAAATAGTATAAGGATAAATTTATAATTTAACATTCATAGAATTTTTATTATTCAATGACAGAAGAATGATATTTTTGAAAAAAAAAATTAAGGGCATTTTAGTTCAAAACGTCGGTAATCCAATAATACCTAAGGAAGGAAAGTAATGACATTCCTGATAATATACCCCAAAAAATCTACTATTGGTAATAAAACATTACCGGGAATGAGATTCCCGGCCAACCAAACATGGGAATATGATTTCATTCCCATGGGAATGTGGATTTCATTCTCATGGGAATCTCACATTCTTGATCCAAACACCCCTAAAGGGGAGGATTACACAAATAAATTTGGTTCAAAAGGGAGATTGAATATAGGTGGATAAACAAGATGGACCGGATCTGACGGGAGAGTGAGGAAAATGGCAAAATGGGCCCACTGAGGTCAACAGGATATTTATTTAGCCCAATAGGGCACCCATTTTTTTTTTTGGATCTATAGCAATTTCTACATTGTAGAGCAAACTCGTCACATCGAAGTGATAAGTTTCATGTGATATAATTTTTTTATTTCGACCTAAATATTTTTAATATTTCCATTGGAACTCGAGGTGACGAGTCCCTTTAAAAAATTATTTTTGGAAGATTATTAAGTGTATTTTTCCCAAAAAATACGTGAAACTTATCACCTCGAAGTGATGAGTTCTATCTTTTTTTTGTCTCCAAGATGTGGTATGGTATACTATGTTGAAAAGAAAAAACTACAAACTTAGTACATTAACATGAAGACATAAATTGGACTAATCTTACAAACACCATAAATATTAAATAAAATCATTAACATAGTAGTATGATTAAGAAGTTTTAATCTTCGTAATCAGTAGACTCGTCAGAAGTAAGATTAAGTTCTTCAATTCCCCATTCTTTTTGTTGTTGACGTTCACGTACGAATTGGAACCATGTTTCTGGATCTCTATCATCTATATTTTTTTCCTTGGTGTTTGTCTGAGTTGGTGGGAGATTCGAGTTGGAAGCAACATCCTCAATGGTGCGAGCAAGGTCGAGATCATCGAACTCTACAAACAAATCGACATTAGACAAATAGTGATAGAAATATGTCTCAATCATGTTAGCAAGGTCTACATCATCGCTTAGATGAAACCTCATACAAGATACTAAAATTTTATCATATATGGAAGATACTCTTGTTTCTATATTTGACTTCAACTCATGTAGCTGGATATTTTTTTAGAAACACATGATTGTAGATTTGCAATCGTAAAAAACAATTGCAAAAAGAGTTGACATGTTTGGAAAAAAAACTCAAGCTTTGGAAGTGAAAGATTGAAGGTGTTATAGTTTTTATTTTTTGCTTCAATATCATAGTTAAATGGATTTCAACTCACACATATTAATAGTTGCCGAAGATGATTAAATGAGCATTAAAAAGTTGGTGAAATATTGGTTGAATTTTATATTGAATGAGGTATGAAAAAGCCAACCATATCATTATTACTACAATAAATGACCTCTGAAAAGTAGCTGAAACGATGCATTATTGCTGTAATAAATGACCTCTAAAAAGTAGTTGAAATAGTGAATTATTGATGTAATAAATGGCCTCTGAAAAGTAGTTGAAATGATGAATTATTGTTGTAATAAATTACCTCTAAAAAGTAGCTAAATCTGTGAACTATTGTTGTAATAAATGGCCTCCGAAAAATAGCTAAAATGGTAAATTATTGCTGAAATAAATGACCTCTGAAAAGTAGTTGAAACGGTGAATTATTACTGTAATAAATGACCTCTGAAAAGTAAATGAAACAGTGAATTATTGTTGTAATAAATGACCTCTAAAAAGTAGTTGAAAAGTAACTGAAAGATTGAAGATTGAGATGACATTTCACTTGAGAGTTCTTGGATAGTAATTAATGAAGGGTCGTATTTGTTTTAAATTGGCTCATTTCTGACGAATCTTCACAAGCCTTATTATTTTGTTGTAATTTTTTTGAACAAGAATAGATCAATCTCTCTCTGAAGATGTGGCAAACAAGTTTTTCGTAATCGTCCACCCAAATGGCCAAGTTGTTGAAACTGGAGACGGTGTTCAGTTCACATCACGCAGGCCTGTGAACATGATATTCTCAAAAAATGTAACTAATGGGGAAATGAAGAGTATGATCAAAAACAAAATCAGAGCCTTGTTTCAAGTTTGAGATATCGACACATCGTTTCAGAGACTCCGCTGAAATACGGAGTAATCGTGCTCGATGATGACGAAGATGTATTTGTTATGGTTGGTCTTCATCAATCTTCGATAATCAGATTATTATCGAAACTGCAGATATTCCTACTTGCTAAAATACTGCTGTCACACCTAAATTTAGGGACTAAAATTTATTAATTTTAAAGTATCGAATTAAAGTAGTAACAAGAGAAAAGTTAGGGACCAAATTACAAATTTCTTAAAGTTGTAGGTTGGTTTTGAAACTTGTGGGAAGTTCAAGGTCTTGAACCTAAATTTTACCATTTTTATTACCCAGTGAAAAAATAAATTTCCTCTATCGATTAACCCCAATTTCCCCCCAAAATTATCAAAACCTAATCCCTAAACCCCTCGTCGATCATCACCTCAATTTAATTGTCGTCTGACCACCTTAGTCGGTGTCGCTAAAACCAAAATGATCGTCGCCTTACTCCGATCAAAACTCGACTCTTATCCATCGCAAATCAGCATCGTTCGCTGTAAAAACCATCAAGAAGATCCGATATTTTCAACCCCGATCGCCGTTCGTTTTCTTCGATTTCGGCCAAACCATTGATCGTTTTGCCTAACCGTGTAACACCCCCAACCCGTATCCGACCCGAATACGAGTCCGAGATGAGCTTATGGATCGATGTGAAGAAGGACAGGTCAGTCCTCCTTACCGAAGGTCAGATCAGAAGAGAAATTAATAATATGTATTTTATTTTATATAATCTAATTGGCATGTATTTATGGAAAAATAAATTATAAAAGCTCTGAACAGTTTTGTAAACGTTTTGAGTAAATATATGTAAATTATTTAGTATGTTTTAAATGGAATTTGAATATTTCTCTATTTGATATAAGAAAATGGTTTGAAAAGTTGATGTGACATCTTGGACTCGTATTCGGGTCGGATACGGGTTAGGGGTGTTACACACCGCCTCCACCGTTGCCTTCACCGGTGTCGTGCGATCAAAACCCGACATGTTGGTTGCTGCACCGTTGTCTTTCTCATCGTCCGCCGTGGTAAGCTCAGATTTTTGTGTTTTCGGTGATTTTAGAGAATTTTATTGTGATTGTTGGGTTGTTATTGGTTAATCCGAAATGTGGATGAACAGGGAGTAATCGGTCGACAACTCTGAGCCCTCCGCCGTCGTCACGCACCGCCACCCGCGCGTGGGGCTTGTTTTGGTCCAGGGAGTTTTCCATAACCGGGTCTACTAGACCTGCCTGATCTGACCTACCCCGCCTGATCTGACCTAACCCGCCTGATCCGATCCAGTCACTGAGTCAACTCGTCGGAGTCAACTCGACTGAGTCAACTCATTAACTTTGATCGTTAACTTTGCCCGGTCTGACCGTCAATTTTGATTTTGACTGAAAAAATCAAATTTTTCAAAAAACTCTATATTTTTCGACGTCCTGAGTTCAAATCTGAAGTCTATTTTTTTCAAATTTGTACCCTATAAGTCATTTTCAATGTTTTATCTTTGGATTCAATTTGGTTTCTCATTTAAGTTCAGTTTCTGACGTAAATTCGTTTGCTATGTATCTGAGGAATTATTGGTCATTTAATTAAAGTTCGAGGAAGATCGAATGGAGTTTAAATGGTTGATTGATATGGCACGATAACTGAGGTAATACTCTACTACCTTTTGTATGCTTTTCGGAACCCATTGATAAATGGTAAATTCATGAATGGAAATGATTGGTCCATTAGGTGTAGTTAACTATCATTGGACTCATACGGAACACTGTATAAGACTCTGACGGCTCGAAAAAGAAATTGATAGACTGGTCGAAAATAAATTTCAGTTCAATTATTTAATCAGTAAATCAATCAATCTCAGAGCGTGTAAATTCTTATTAATTTTGTTAAAGGTTAAATGTTGGGAATATTTGAATAAGAAATTACCAAAAATAACCTATGGGGTAAAATTAAAAAATTCCCTTGTACTATAAAAAACCAAGACTTCCCCTAGTGGTGAAAATAACCTTCATGATCAAATGAACAAAGTACTCTGAACTCTAAATGAACTAGAATACTTTCAAGTCTAAGTTATCCAAAGCAATTCCACTGACAGAATTAAATGAAATGACGATAATACCCTTAAAGTGTAAAAATGACTATGGATGACTATGTTAAGGTAGACGACCTGAGAACTTATATTATGATTAAGTTAAACTGAATGGAAGTAATGTATGTATTCGAATTTGCAGAAACGATCGAATTACTCTGGAAACTCTTAAATGACCGGGATAGACTTTACTAATAAATGGACTAAGTACCCTCAAAGACCTTGAATTAAGGGTGTTGAACCAAGAATCAAGCACGTCTACATTTCTTGATATCGTTACAATGCCGAAATGAAATAAAGATCTATTCAACGATGATTCTAAATAATATCAATTCGACAAGAGTTGTCTGATTGAAAAGTGAATACCCTGAAAGTGCAACAAATTGACCAGTTGACAAGCATCAGTGATGGGAGTTGTTCAGTTCAAGTTAACTCGTTATTTCGATAGATCGATACAAATCTTAAATGCCCTGAATCTTTGTTTCTCCCTAATTAGATCAATCACTCAGAATTCTCCAAGAACCTAATACCCAAATTGCATCTGATTTCCTGGATAATGGAATCACTCCTGTCATATCTGAAAACACAAGTAACTCTGATGTAAAGGATTCTGAAAACTTTTTCGATTACATAGTACCTATAAAAAATAGCCGAATATTATATGATCATGATAAATCACATTATGAATAACTGATGATTCCGTCAGCTAAAGAACTCTTTCAATAGTGATTCTAATTTCTGTCATACTATCGGTATATTGAAGATCTACGTTTCCCTTGCCGATAAGATTATCAAGTATCTTCGAATAATATTTGGAACCTCTAGTGTGTTTCCTGATCATTATAGATATTTTCTCAGATTTTAAAAGTATGACTTTGTTATCTGGAATATAGTCTGACCTCTGATTTCTACTATGAACTTTGATATATATTCTAATCTCTTATTTCTGTTCTGATCTTTGATCTTTGCTCAGATTAATGATATCTCTATTTACTGATTAAAATTATTTTTATAATGGTACTCTGGGACACTGGTATAACT